TATGGCTTATCCTAGGCGCTTTTTATATAAAATTTAATATTATTTGTTGTGGTATCTCTTAGGGGTTAAAAATCATTCAGCCATGCCCTTTTTTAAAGACTTCAGGTATCTTTTAGGGGTCTCTTTGAAAATTTCTGACGAGCATCCCCGGTACTTTTTCCCTGGAGTCCCCCCCGGGGTTTGGGGACCTCGCACAAACCTACTAATAAATCATGATCAAACCCCCTAAAGGTGTGACTACACAGAGCAATTTTCTCTGCAACTTGTTTCACAATTGCGACACAAGTTGCAAGAGTGATAACATGGTGCAACGGAGATGCACTTGCCAAAAGTAGAAACGAATTCTACTTTTCGCAACAATTGCTGCAATTTATCTCACAAAATTTTTCAAATTTTGCTGTAGGTTACATGCTGCAATGCTCTGTGTAACTTGTGTCACAATGCTGTTGCAAGGCAAGTTGCAGAGAAAATTGCTATGTGTAATCATGCCTTAAATGACAACTATGAACCCCCTAATTAGATTATCTTGATTTAATCAAACCTCCTTAAATGACAAATATGAATCCCCTAATTAGATTATCTTGATTTCATCAAACCCCCTTAAATTACAAATATGAATCTCCCCCCTGATGGGGACGTGTGCATAAAAAACTAGGGACTTAATGTAATAATTATATACTTTCCCCATGAATAGCCTTATATACCTTGCACCCTGATTGAAAATGCAGCCAATGAGAATGCAGGAAAGCCATTGTAATCAAGGTATGACACTCGAAACCATTCTACAACTAGTATTAATCTACATCACTATATATATTTTGCCATTTCAAACATGGATTAGTAAATTAAATAAATAATATTAAATAATCATTAACCTTGCTATTGATCTGGGTGCATCTGTAATATCTCATTGGATAGTAAAATGTTACTTCAATCAACCAAACTTGAAATCCCCAAAGATCTGAAAAACCTTTAAAAAATAAATTACATTAAATTGAAGGCTGGCTATATACTGCAATTTTTGCAGGAGTCATTAAGTTAGATGGTGTAAAATGTCATTCTCTTGAATATCTGTAGGTTTTATAAATTAATATTAATTATATATATAATGGAATATCATAATATAAAAAAGTTAATTTACTAAACTTAGTTTGTGCGAAACGAAAAAGCCAATTTATTAAACCCCTAAAGAATATTGTTCCCTTAATTGTTCTCTTCCACAAAATACACAACTAACAGCTTTACATAACTTTCCATTTTACTAACAAAATAGGAATGATTTAGGAATTATGAAATACAATGGGCCTTACCTGTGGAAGATATGTCCCATTCAACCAGTAGGACTGGTCTAGTGTTCTTCAACAAAAGATGTGTTATTCTTACATTACGAGGTTTACCAGGAAATGAGTGACAGTCTGGATGTTTGATGTATGTTTGGCACCTTGATACTGTATAAAAGGATTCAAATAAATATATTTATGACTTTTTCTTTACTCATTACATAGTTTTTAACTTTAGATGCTATTGTCAATATATTGCCCATTGATATAATTTATGATACAGATATAAAGGTTATTTACTGGCTTGGATAGGAAAACTTGTGCCTCAGAGATCTTGACTATATGGCTATTGAGACTGTTTGACTGAGATCTGTTTTCAAGACCGAGAGCACACTTTTTCCCTATCCAGACCAAATTTAGATTGGTAAATAACTTTAACGTAAAATTATTTTTTGTATCTTAAAATTTATCTTTTTTTGTAATATTTTTTTGGGTGAGTTATTTAGCAATCCATTATCCTTAAGGATACCAGACTGCGGTCAGAAATAGAAAATACTGGTTGCTTGTGCAACCAATCTGAGCACATGTTTAGGATACTAGATTGGAAAAAATAAATGATATGAATACCTAAATGGCATACAAAGTCAACAAGTGTTAATATATTTCCATGTCTTTGCTTGATGCAGATTGCATTTTCTTTCACTTCATGTGATTTAATTTCATGAAAAAAAAAATGAATGACTTTGATTCACTGTTCAATATTAAAAAAAAAAAAATCAATCGAACATCAGAAATTTCATTAGCATTCTATGGCAGAATTACTTAATTACATCTATTTGGTGGACATTCTGCTGTTTTTAACAATAATAGCATCATGAATGATTATCCTTGGGTCATTAATGAAAAAATATAAAAGGCTGTAGAGCTGAARCTCTCTGCAGTTTAATTTAATAATGACAAAATAACACTAGTTTGACAGCATGAAATTGGACTTGTGCCATTGTAAAAACCTTGAAGAGAAAATAGACTACAGAGAACTATATCAATAATCTAGTTCTTTCTACATATGACATGTTATGATTGATATTTCAGTAGATGTAAGTGCCTTTAGGACTAACATGAAAATCTTTTTTTCTTTTATTTTCCTCCTTTTTTTGTGGGGGGCTAGCCATTCTGAAATATATGCAGTCTGCCAATATTAGATATCAAGATATTATTAAGATGTTATTAGGCAAATTAAACTTTCAATTTTAAAAGCAATAAAAATCAAAACTAAAGAATAAATAGAAAAGCAAATTATCTGTGCATCTTACCATTTCCTGATGGATGTCTTCCACAAGGAGGATACTTCTGCAGATAGCCTTTCTCAAGTATATGCTGTCTGCCAATATCAGATTTCTAGTATAACAAATTAAACTCCAACATTTAAGCAATAAAAATCAAAACTTACATTTTGTAATCCTAAAGTTGAGTTACATAGACTTTTTAAAATGTTTTTTTATTTTTTTTGAAGTAAGCATTAAGAATGAATTCCAAAAGAAATGCTAGAATTTCGGGGGGTGCGGAGAAATTAAGCTTTAATTTGAATTAGGCAAGGAGAACAGGTGTTTTTGACTTCCAGAAATTAGTATTTATGCACATATGATTTTATAGAAGTGAGATGGTTCTACCCACATAAACATTAAATGTGGTTAATTTGTCTTAAGATTTATAAAGCGTGCTAAACTTTGCTTAGTTTGGTCTAGCATTAATGCGTCTCTGATTCCAAAATCTTGCAGTGATGTGTATGACATTCAAATTTCTTATACAATTAATTTGCATAAATGTTTAGTTTCTTCGTTTTCTTTACTGTAGCAAACTATCGGTAACCTGTCAAGGTAATGACAGGGTGGAATAGCTCTTATTATGCACAGATTTGCTTACTTCCAAGTCGAATACTGAGTATATTTGAACACTATAGTGCAGAGTAATCTGTTTAATATATCATTGAAAACCAATGAATGTTAGATAAACAAAGTAAAATCAAAATTGTGATCTTCGATGATGTAGAGTTGGGTATACGTTCGCGTGTTATTGGTTGTTTGAAAAATCAAAACAATAAAGAGTAACTTTTGCGAACTTCGTTGACTCGTATCTGAAAACTTACTTCTTTCGTTTTGAGCAGTCGGTCAAACTATCACTCTATTAAATCAAGAATTAAAAGTTCACAGAAAAGCTACATTACTACCCACACTATACTACTTTCCTTCCTATGAAACCAAAGAACTGATACTAAAAAATATATCACGTTTCTTGTTAAACAGCATACCTTGTTTGGCACGGTTGATAAGTCCTTGCAGTGATGTACTTGAACGACAATCATAGAAAGACTGAGCAAAATTAAAGCTAAGGTGCTATATGCCATGTATAATTAAGACTGCCGGTCAACGAGACTATTTTTTGCTCGGTCGATGTGGTTGTTGCTAATCAGTTTACGGCAATAAACTGCTGCTTGCATGTGATTGAAGTCGATTATAATCTTGGAGCATACTAAGTGTAACAGGACATAGCTGATTGACGTAGGTGGTTGGACAATAAAGAGGTTTCCATAACTATGTTGTTTTGATCAAGACTATTTTATTCCTCAAGATCATGTCCAGCGTAATTCTCGAAGCCAGTCACATAAAAACCAGTGTTGTATACTCGGAGCCATGCTTGTTCGGTCATCAAAGGACTTGGTTCATTGCTTCCTGTCACGAATCGCCTTCAATTGGCAGGTTCACCGCATGGCTTTTGGGTCACGGTCGGGGTGATAAATATCTCTGTACCGTTTCCTCTCAAGAGCCGACCAGCGGAAGGTTTTCTGAAAAAGTTTGGATTTTAAAACCTATATTCTTTTTTTTATCTTTGTAAGTGCAATTTTTACTTTTTTTAATGGTAATAGTATAATTGCGCACTCAAAACAAATGAGATTTGAACGGAGAGTAATAGGAATTGCGGTCCTTGTCTTCCATTAGGCAGGGGTAATACTGAAAAAGGCTTAACTGATAGCACTTTAGGTTATTAATATTCATCGTAAATCAGTACAAGTTTTCCCAGGTGGAGATAGAAACCAAAATTGTAAGAGATGCAGCTGCTTGAAGAGTTGAGAAATCGTTCGTAGGGTCCTGATTAGGTTTTGTTTAAAAGTGATAATCGAGAGAAAATGAGTTGGTCCATTGATTATCCTCTCTTGCGGTAATTCATCAAATTGGTACATTTTGTTTCTGTTTTTCATTTTATTTTCGCCTTTTTTTAGCAATCTGTATATTTCTTTTCCTTTCTGTCCGTTCCTTTTCTTTTTTTCTCTCTTTATTTCTTGAACGAAAGGAGCAACTGAAAATATAAGAATTTTATTGTGAAAGTTAGAGATGAGCTTCAGTAAATAAAAAAATGCAAAACTGTTTTTTCATGCATGCACTACTTTGCCAACAGCGCACCAGCTACACGGTGACATATACCTTAACTACCAGACCTCTCTAACCTGAGACGTAAATGTTTCCCATTTCATTCAGACCAAGTGTCATTCTCTTGGTGATAATATTCTTTGTTTGAGTTGTATCCATATTTAGCACAACCGTTCAAAGAAATGATGATACTTAAAGAATGACACGTGCAGTTCTGAAGTGTGAAGATCATCACGCAATTTAAAGTGGTCTATATTGCTCGGATACAAAGACACCTAAGAGGGCAAAGTTGTTTAAAACAGTATTGAAAAGTAGTAATTTTAGTGTCTGCTATGTTCATAGGTTGGCGAATGATTTACTCTCGAAAATTTGATCCTTTGGTACCATAGTGTCAACTAATCGTAAGTGGAGTTACGAAAATACAAATGAATTGTTTCAGAAATTCTTCTTACACAAAAACTGTTGCAAACCAATAATTGTATGTTAGTGGATGGGGGGTAAAAGCGGAAAAAACTTTCGCATGCACTTTGTGTCCCTCGATCACCTGGATGTGGGAATGTTACCACCAGGATAACTCGGGTGGCAACGAAGGCGAGTGATGGTGCTGATAATTGCCCTATATAGGCCTAGACAACTCATTCCCTTCAAAGAACGCGGCAAGAATGACTGAGCAAAAATGGTCTTCGAAGAATTGAGCGGTCTGGCACCAACATATATGTCCGAGAATTAACATTATTCAGTCGAATTCATATGAGAAACTTGACATACTCCTGCGATCATCTATCTGATTTTGCCAAAAATAAAGACATCTTTCAGCGGAGAAAACAATCTTGGTAAAGAATTACAGTGAGCATACGTAAACCACGAACACTTCGAGTTTTTTTGTCACTTAAAAAAATGCATACTGTAATCATTGCTTGAGCCAATCGATTGGACTGGAAATAAGATTTATTTTGATAACTCGGTGTATTTAAGCTCAAGGCTTCATTTAAACGCTTTTAAAAGCTTTTTTTCCCCTCTTCCTCCGACTTTAACTCGGTGAATATCAAGCTTAGGATATGCAGCCGCTTGTCGTTGGGTAGAACCTCCAACTTTAACTCGGTGAATATCAAGCTTAGGATATGAAGCCGTTTGTCCGCGTTGGGTTGAACACCTGCGGGCTGTTTAGCGCGTGTGAACAGGCCTTCGGGAAATGAGGGAGGGATTAGCGAACCGACTAGCATTTGTACGAAAGCTTTATTATTATTGCCTAAAAGTAGGAACGTCCTAAATGGTACATTATTTCATTCCTCCCAATAAATGTATTTGGTGATACCTGTCGTTCGTATGGCGGATCCAGGGGAGGGGTGCAGGGGGTGCGCACCCCTCCCTGGCTCGACTTTGTGCACCTACTTCAAAGATTTAACCAATACAAAATAATCTTTTTCCTTTGATTCTAAGGGGTGCACCCCTCCCTGGGTTATCTATGTGCGCTGCACCCCTCCCTGAACAAATTCCTGGATCCGCCCCTGCGAATAGAGCGTCGCAATCAAGTCTGAATTTTAAGATATCGACTAGTGGCCTAATGATACTATTACTCAGTCGTGTCAGTTTTATGCCACGTCAGGCCGTGTTCATTACCACTGTAATTTCTAAAACTAAGTCCCTTGTAAGTATTTTGTTGCTAGGAAGGGAGTGGTCCAAACCATGACTCGTATCCTTCACCCCATGGTTATTAAAATTCAAGAAAAATCGCTAGTTAGCAATATAGTTTTTATTTCTGAGTAAATCTCTTGTGGTCGTTTTGGCTCAAAATCAGTGTTCAGACTCATAACTGATCATTATTTCTAAAAACGCTTTTTTAGTAAACTCTACGTTTTAAAAAAAATCTATAAAGAAAGTTTATGCATAAGCAAGCAGTGTAGTATGAGGTTTTTGTCCTAGTCTTGGTTATAAAAAGCTCCGATTATGCGCAGCCATTATGGTCATGGGCGTATTGGTTTTGTTTCTTCACTATTACGGATTCGAGATGACCCACAACAGCAAAGATAAATGAACTGGCCAATCAGAATAAGACTTCCTAGTGCAAACAAGGTCGCGCCTATCCCCAAGGCGTCATATGTGTTGTCAAAATTATATCCTCCATCAGACGATTTGCTCAAGGGAGATAGGGAATATGCATAGAGGCCAATGGCTCCCAGCGAGATAAAGGCTACAGCTACGATCATAATCCATTTAGCTGTCAGTCGATCCATTCTGAGGTGGCTTCAATTAACTGCTCAAGGGGCGCTGATGCTCTGATTTAGCTGTTGAAACCTGTTTTAGAAAGATACATATTTTGTTAAACTAAACGACAAGGGAAACTAAAGAAAGCCTGACTGACCTAGAGTGAACAATCTTTCTTTACACCCTCTCTTATATATCACCCAGATTTTGAACCATGCGACAGAATATCAATCTCAGGCTACTCGCTCCGGTCAGGCTAAGCCGTTAGAAATAACTAGTTTCGCGTTCTATGAATACCGCTGTTTTTGAAGAGCACAGACTCATTTGTACAGGCTTAGCCTCGTTTATAGGTCAGCTATTCACAGATACCATTAAAAGTCCGTGGGATTTCAAAACACTGGTATTGTTCAACTTGCCGACATTCTTTACATTACAGTTGACTTTTGAAAATGATTTGCTGTTAAAGTGCGCCTAATGCCTAATCACAGACATTATGTAAGTTGAAGATATATTCATCAAAATGCGAAAATCCAAAAAATTTTCGAAATTGGATGCATTCCTGATTTTTAAATGAGTTTTGAAAACGCGCCTTTTCATATATATGGACCGCGCGTAAGGGGGACTGGTGCGATTACGTCATCGGGGTGATACGTTCCAAAAGTGAAAGACTTGCGCATTCTTCCAAGTTGGATTCACTCGTACAATAAGTAAAAGCTCAATATTTCGGCATTTTTTCTTTCTTAAAACTTTTAAAAACAGCACTCTTGACCCACAAAAACTGAATTGGTGTATCACCCCAATGACGTATAAGTCTATACAATTTTTCAGGCTCCTCGAACGCGGTACTGAAATTTCGAGAGTGAGTGGACACGAGAATTTTTCCAACTTTTTCGTGCCGTAAAAAATCAGGAATTCGTTTGAAACGAAAATTATGCTAAGGCTGTTTAGGTGAGTCTTTAGTCATTAAACACAGCGGTATTTACCAAATGAGATAAGGGACTATTTTCTTTATTCCGTGAAACGCGATTTGATATTTTGTATTTTTGACATTTGGCATTATTCGAACACCACGCCCCCCCCCAACCACCCTGTAACACATAACTAATTTCTAACTCAAATTCGATCATTGAAGGAAGCACTTTGCAAACTTAACAGCGCCTAATAGTAAATCTAATAATAAAGCCCCGTGTTTAGCATCCCCGGGTAGTTCAAGGACATGACCGTGAACTGAAAGTAAGTGTCAGGTCTGGTGTGAAGCGTAATATATTAAATAAAAAGTATTTTTTCTAATGGTGGCCGGGTTAGCAAATTCAGTAATCGCAGAGCAAAATTCGGATGTCCTTTTGCGTCTGAAAATACCATATTTAGAGTTGTGAATTACGGCAAAGAACTGTTCATTTGAACCTGGCACCTCTCTAAACAAAGGCAAGCTTTATCAGTCTTGACATGATTGTCGATAACGAAAGCTATGATGTAAAATCACAAAATGGTAAAACTTGGAACTTTTGTATTAAATTTTTGTTTGGTACAATTAAGTTTACAGGTCTATCCTAAAAATATCCCCATGAGGTTTATATTTGGGAGGGCCTGCAGGACTTATTATAGAACGGGCTTCGTTTACGTTTCAAATTTAAAGGGCCGTATTTTTGGTAGGGCTTAATTTGCGGGAGCATATTTCCGGAGGTTTACGGTATTTGTCAAAACATGTTGGCCTAAAAGCCTCATTCAGTGATCTTTAGTACAATTTTAGATGTGTATGTGAATATATGTGAAATATATATCTGTACTGCGGTTGTAATGTATCAAATTAAACTGATCCTCGCAGTATATGAAGCAACTTATGGAGCTGCAAATTGAAAGACTCAGAAAAAATTCTAGAATTCTACAATTTTAGAGTTGAATATAGTTTCGCGCGCTGTGGTTGGTCGAGTGACCAGTGATTATGAGACGATAATTATTCACAGCTCGAACGGTGATTATGAGGCTTGCCAGAGTGGATAGAAGTAATACTAAAACGTTTTTTAAAACCTGAATTACGTCATTTCTCTGATATTCGTCTAAAATCACAATTACTATTCACCTCGGACTCGGTGAACATCGATGAATATTTACCTCGGGGCTCGGTAAGTATTCACCGATATTCACTTAACCTTCGGCGAATAGTTGTTAGAGAAGATTCATGCTCAACTTTGATTATTTATTCTGCATATGATAATCTGAATCGACTCGGAACAGAGTTTTCAGAAAGCGTGTGAAATTTGCGAGTAATTTTCCATTCACTTCTATCACACAGGAAGAGAGAGAGAAAAAAAAGAAATTTGAATACTAACCTGGAAAATGTATATATCCAAAAGATAAAGCAACGAATTTTTCAGCAAACGCACAACTTCAGCTTGATCGTTGAGTAATGTTTTCCTGATTGAGAACTCGTTGCATTTTCATAACAGTAATTTGATTCATCGCTTGACTCAGCGCTTCAGATGCAATATTAATATGGATAAGACTTTWAAAAAATTCATTTACATTATGGCAGCAAGCTATAGCATTTTTCATACTCAAAAACATAAATAAAATATTCCATTTTTTATTTAATGCAATTTTCCACATATTTAACATAATAAACTGAAGCTTCCGTTCGTTACTAACAGCGAAGTGTTCTTTCGATTTCAGGTCTTAATTTTGAGACAACTCCTTCGTCTGAGAGGGTAGGTTATGTGATTGAGTATCAATACTGAGGGGTATAATGGTAGCATGCTCACCTCTGGGGTCTCGGTTATGATTTGTGGACTTGGCATCACATGTGACTGAGGAGATTGTTGGGTCTCCCTTGATTTGAGGGTTTGTTGTTGTTGTTGTTGTTGTTGTTTGTTAATTTCTCCGGTTTTCGTTCCTCCGAAAAACCTATCAAGAATTCCTATTCGATCTGCGAGTTATTCGTGCACTTTGTTAGCCCCAGCCAAATGTTTTTCCAGGGTATCGATCGATTACGCGGATTCGTTAGGTAGCAATGGTGGTTCAGAAATTCTCAACAAAGTATAGGAAGGTCGAGGACTATTAAGGGTCCTTGCCCCACTGGAACGTAATATCAAAAGGACTGTAGACCGTAAATCAAGGGAAGAGACATCAAGGGCAGTCATTTCATCAACACTCAATCTTTCTATGATCACTGCAATTGCTTTGTTTGGTAGTATTTATTATTGCGAAAGATTGCGAAAGATTGTATGTCAGGTTCTTCAACATGATAATGCTGGAGCAAAAAGAAAAAGAAAACGCTCTGTACAATATTTACAATAAACTTCTGAATATGCATAAGAATATTTACTTTCAAATTGGTAAGTCCTTGCATTGTCCAAATGAACTATCAGTTCTATTAACTATATTTCTTTCTGTCAGTTGAAATGATCAGTAGAATGTTTTAACTTGAAAGGTTTTTCAAGGCACGAAACCAGTCCATGGTTCCACTCCCCATAGTCACCGTTGCTATGGCCCCACAAGCTCAACAAATTAGCTAAAATATTTCGGAAATTAAAACTCTGATCGCAGAAAATTGGTAATAAGCTATTTCTATTGTTTACTCCTGTGAAACTAAAAGAAAATTGCTTCCTAATTCTTGTAGTACTCTTTCAAAAAGATATGGTGTAGTTGTTTGTGGGAGAAGATCGATTCCACTGGGAAACCTACTGCCACGGTGAGCTTGTTGACTTTGCCGGGTTATAGGCAATGTAGAGGTTACTGATCCTTTCCACATGAAGCCACTTTGCCAGGTCCTTTGTGAGCGATCCATTTCGGCTTCAAGCAAGAACAACATTACTTACATGAATATATATATATATATACAGTCAATTCAAAAAATGTTGTCGTCGACCAACTCAAGCCTACGCGACTGGACCGAAAGGAACTCTGGGTAGCAATTATTGAAGCCGAGTTGACTCCATAATTTTATCTGACTAGTTATGCCTGGTTTACAGCACGAACCTTTGTAGGCGAGCGGGAAGTGTTGAAGTAGACGTTTTTTTAATGCATTCATATTTTCAGAATTGTGAACTGAATCATAACTACTTTGTTTTTTCTTTCCCTAAACCCGAAGACATGCATTTTATGGATTAATTCTAGCCATTATTACCTTATTACTAGCGGGAACAATTTATTCAGAACGAATATTTAATCGCTCAGTGATTTTTACCCATATTCCTTTCGGTCCAGTCGCGTAGGCTTGAGCAGGTCGACGACAACGTTTATTGAATTGACTGTATATATTTTACTCTTCAAGCTACGCGACGCTGCTCCTGTTGTTTTTTTCACTTTCAATCCGCAAGTGTTCTTCATCAGCCTCAGCTATCGCCTGTAACAAATCTACTTTACGTGATTCAAATGGGTGATCACTTCCTCCCAACACCACTATAGGACGTGTACGATAAGGCTGGATCGCTTCTATGTTCAGCACATGATAGATCAACCTATTCAGATCGTTCGGTAACTTGTATGCAAGTCTTGAGCTGAGAAAGTCAGGTATATCTTTAGGTTCTCCATTGTACTTGAAGTAGGCCGGAATGAACTTGGGCGAATTTGGATCTCTGATTATCTCGCCGGATACAAGGTTCAACTGCGCTGTGATATCTAGGACTGAAAACAAAGTAAAACAATAGTTTAAGGGCTGATAATATTTTCTTGTGCACTAGGTTATGCATTCAAGTAATTTGGAGAGTGGTATAGTAAACTGAAACCTGGCATGCGCACAGAATGACGTGGTGCTGTTCACTTGTTAAATTAACAAGGCGCACCCCAGGATTTAGTCTTCTACGCAGCCGCTATTAGTGTCGTCACGCAATGCTTACCCCTAAGCGTGGCGTGACGACACTAATAGCGGCTGCGTAGGAAACTACCCAGGATTTTACTAATAAATGATTTATATGAATCATAAATCATTCATTAGTGAAATCCTTTCGTGCGTCTCGTTATTTTGACATTCACGTTTTTCGGTTGAGCGGCTATTTTTATTCTCGTACCCAAAGCCTTCTAATCTTTCTAACGAAAAAATCACAAACCTTCGATCTTTTAGTGAGAAGGATTTGGGTACGAGAATGCGGCCATTTAAAAAAAAAGTTTGAACCGAAAATAAAGATTAAAAGGTTCTTGAGATGACATGGAACCATTAAAGTGCGCTATATGTACTTACGGTCATCACTTTCCGCGTCTAATTCCTTAGTTCTTTTTTTCCATCTCGCCATTTTACTCGAAGCCAAGACTACGACGCATTTGGCCTCGCGAATTTCTTCCTCGTACCATCTCACAACGCCACTTGATATCTCATTCTCTGACCATAGATCTGCTCTTACTTCCACCAAACCCGTGGATGTCAGTAGTTCACCCAGACAATGTACTACCCATTTGCACTGTTGGCAGCACCGAGCACTCATCAGGAAAACCCTTTTTATCCCTTCTATTCAATAGAAAAAGAGATAGGAAAAAAAGGATGTTAAAGTGATGGGATTATTGCTTATGTCGAAAAAAGTCCCAAAGCCTTGCATTCGGCCTTCTATAGTTGAAACTTTGAGTTAATTCTATAAAAATGGTTTGTCTGTATGTAATTAATTAACTATCATCATCAACATTATTACCATTATTATCATTAATCATTTCATCAGCATGGACATTGACATCATCAGCCATCATCTTCGTCATTAATTATTATTATGATCACCATCATCCTTGTCATCGACAACATTAACCTGCTTCCTCATCGTCGTCATTATCATGATATCATCTTTATCAACATCATGTATCATGCTCATCATTATTATGTTTCTACCAAGTTCGAACTAACCATCAAGAAGGGGTTCTCCAGAGCGAGACGGGGAATGATCACTGGAGACTGCTATCCGTTGTGACGGGTTCGGAAGCTTATAAACCACTGAAACAAAGAAAAAACCTCATAATCAATGCCTTATTCTTCGTGCAACTGGGTTGTTTATTGTAAGTCTAAGGAACTAATGAGGAATGGTATGTTATCGTCAACCAACATGGCGGCTATTACGTAACATGCAACCCAAAAATACAATAGTCCCCTTCACAGTTCCCTGCGCCATCTTGAAAGGTAGCCGTGCCTTTGCATCGAAGCAAGACGAATGATGACCTCGCAATGCTAGAGACATGTGAATAATTGTCCAAGGTGTTTTTAAAAAGGCCTCTATCATTGCAAGCTCACCGTTCGTTCAAAGGCACTGCTACCTTTCGAGATGGCGCAGGGAACTGTGAAGGGGACTATATTGTAAGCTATTGTAACTCTGCAATGTTCTTAACCAACTGATTAGTAAAGTATAATAAGATATAAAGGTTATATATAATTTACTAGAGGAAAGAGCTAGACCTACCCTTAGTAAAGCAATACTTGTAGACGAAGAATAAAGCAACCAGCGCAACTCCAAAAATAACCCCAGCAACGGCTACGAAGACTTTGGTGCTATCATCCGATTTATTTCCCCATACAGTAGTGGCTAAAATAAATAGAAAATCAAGCAAGAAGTATTAAAAATGTCATAATCGTAAACCTGAGTACTGCTATTCAGTATCGTGCATTCGCCTTTCAGTCTCGGGGTTTTATCCCTGTAGTCAGCATCACATATGAGTAGAGTTTGATATAGAGCAAGTCTCTACTATGATTAGAGGATTTTTCTCGGCAGGTTCTCCGGTTTTCCTCCCTCCGTAAAACATACCATTCTAAAGCGATCAGCGTGAATTAGCCTTGCTCTTGCTTTGACCGGTGAGGTTGTTTCAGGGTTTGATCTGTGAGTTAGCTGTGCCCTGACTTTGATCAGCCCAGAGGTTATTTCAAGGTATCAATAAAATTCAAAGCCAGAGTTTACCAAAGCGTGTTTTTTTTACCGCCAGCCGACTCTTGCGCAAAGTGAGCCAGCTTGAGGAAAACGCTGTCCTGCGTTTAAGAATGTCGATAAGCCATTAAAGCAATTATTTTTTTGTTTTCATTTTACAGCGGAAAAGAAGTGAACCTTTATATTTGGTTAGAATAATTGACTGCAAAAAGGCGCACTCTTTGCAATGGTAAGTATAAGAACCTACTAATTGTATATTTGGCTGAAGAACAAGCCAAAACGTCTAACAAACGTCTAACAAAAGTTTAAGTTAAGCTAGAGTCAATTATTTTATAATATAGGTGTCAATGAATCCTGACAACAACCAATCAATTCTTAAAACCACTAATTTTGCTTGCGAAAAATAAAACAGTTGAGGAGACTTGCCTGAAACTTTGGCAATCTTTTGAGGGTAGGACACCATAATCCTGGCTTTTCTTGTTGTCTCATTGCTCTCATGGACGCCTATCACCTGTATGGAAGTCAATAAAAACGTAAAGGTAAAAACTTCGTGCACTCTCAGCTGAATAGAGGCTTTGCACCAACAAGTGACGGCAGCCATGTTAGATGGCAGGAAAAATACAATCGTTTTACATGAGAAAGAATTCAGCCCCAAGAGCAAAGGGTTTTTCTTGTTTTGCCATCGAACCACAGGCAGTCCAAGCTGTATTATGGGCGCCGATACGTGGTGGTGCAAAGCCTCTTTTCACGAGTACCGCTGTTTTTGAAGACCACAGACTCATTTGCACAGGCTTAGCCTCGTTTATAAGTCACCTGTTCACCATTATTAAAATATTGATATTGTTCAACTTGCACATTTTTTTTACACTACAGTTGACTCTTGCAAATGATTTGCCCTTGAACTATGCTAAACCTGTACAAATGAGTCTTGAGTCAAACACGGCAGTATTTACCGAATGAGAAAAGAAAACACTGAGAGGTGTCCCTTATGGGTGCTTCAGTGCTAGTTTCTAGCTTCGCACGAGAACTAAATACTAGTTATACAATGGTTTTGAGTAGAATATCCCACCAGCACACAAGTGTTTTGTGTACGTAAATCTAAAACTCTCTAATAATTTACCTTGATGGAGTAGTTATGCTGTTGACACTCCTCTGACAAGATGATAGAATAATTGTATCTTGAAATCTTTGGAAATACAAAACAACAGAAAATCAACAATAAAATAGGGTGCCACTGCACTTATATTCCAATAATTCATCCTATACCACAACGCATATTTACGAGGCTACGGTAAGACACGGTACGGCTACAATACGACTAAGAATTTGCTGTATCGTTTTGCATTCCTACGAAAACTGCCTTGTGCTATAGCCATAATTACACTGGCGTGATTCGATTAATTAGTGGAAGACAATGGGAAGCCATTTCAATGTTACAGCATGTCGTATAATGTAAAGTCAGTACCGTATGTTTCCCACTCGTGAGATAACCATTCTTATGGCAATCCATTTCAATGTTACGGCATGTCGTACCATGTACATGCTGTAAGTCAGTGTCGTATGTTTCCCACTCATACGATAACCATTCTTATGGCAAACCATTTCAATGTTACGGCATGTCGTACCGTGTACATACTGTATTAAGGCAGCACTATATATTTTCCCATTTTATACGGAAAAAGTCATACAGGGACTGTATAGCGGCTGCCAGAGGCGCATTCTCATTGCTTTCAGTTCCACCCTGTTGGCTGTGCCAAATAACACGTTTTTTTGTTTTTTGTTTGCCTTCTAACGAATTTTGGAATTGAGGAAAAACCCATACTCAAAACTAACCTCTGAAATATCATTTCGAAATGTCTGTAGCCCAGAGCATTTTTCAGGGTTTTGCAGATTTGTCCAGGCGACACGAAATCGTTTGATGTCGATTGATTGATCTGCACAATGAATGCTCCAAAACAAGGATATTGTACCACGGTCAGTATCGACTGTGCTATTTAAATCGGAAATAAAACCTAGAAATAATAAAAAAAAAGGAAATTTTAAGATGATCAATGAATTCATTTTCTTATAGTATCTAAACGAAAAGAATAACTAGAAGTTTCTTGAGTAGATATCTCGGACGATATCCATCGTCCATCATCAGTTTAATGACTCTCTATATTCTTTTCGTTTATAAACTTTTAGCCCAAAGAAACATATTCACACTTATAGTATCTGCTAAATAATCTTTATATAATAGTTTCTTCCAAAAAATTCAATTAATAAATTATAAATAAATAAATAAAATTGAAAATAGCCAAATGATTGAAATATCATAACTTGTTTTAAAAAGTCCGTTTACTGCGAATGAAATCATTGACAAATCGGTAACCTAGAAAGCTAATATACCTTTTTTAGATTGTATGTTATTCTCCTTTCTTATTTTAAAGGTTCAAAGGAGTGTGGGTGCCGGCTTGCTATCCAATCCACCCTCCCCTCCCCTCTCCAACCCATCTGGAAAAAAACCTTGAAAATACCTATCGTTACTTTACTTTTTATCATTGAAAATCTTAACTTAAAATGTTTTGTAATGACGGACTGTCACTTACAGCAGCTTGTATGCATCTTGAACTCCTTGAATTCGCACTTTTCTGTATGAACAATGATAAAATTTAGCTGTAGTAGACAAGACTACATATCGTGAAGCGGATAAGAAAAAGTGGAGGGACGAAAAAGGGACTGGAAAATATAGTCCAATCCCCTTCGTTTTCCTCTCCCTCTTCCCTTTTCCGTATAAACGCAGGATAGTCAACACTTTTATCAGTGACGTTACCTTTGACGTAGACTTTCTTTTCGACCATTTCTTTGGACGGCAGACTTTGGAGTATTAGTCTGTACTCTGAGCCAAATTTAATGTAATTAAACGTATGATATGGCTCTTTGTCCTCCTTAACAAACAATAATTTCTTTGGTAAGTTAGAATGTTTAACTTAGGTAGCTGGGTAACAGCATTGCAGACGTTTTGCTGCGCTAGTTATGGACTATTCGTAGCAAGAGTACCAGAGTTGGAGGGGTGAGCACACGCGTATTGGCGCGAAAATACCCGAAAAAATCCACAGGTAGCCCTACCCAAAAAAGCTTGCAGTGATTTGGATCAAACGGTTCATGCAACGTCGGTCAGGGCTTTCAGGGATATCAGTTCCAGGCTTTGTTATATAAGCAAATCTGTTAAGATAGGCAATTAGTATAGTTTGTCATATATATTTTTCATTTTGCTCTTCTTACTTTCGAGTTGATTTGAATGCATCTCTGAAAACCGGCATGTCCAGCAAAGCCAAGTATATGTACTTGATACCCCCACAGATCATTGTACCCTACAACATAATATAAAGAAGATGGAACTTAGAAATAGGTTTAGTAACTTAGAAATAAGCAATGCTACACACTAAACACTGCAATTACGACAATAAACATCTTAGAAAAAAGAAAAACGACGATATCGCGGAACATAAAGAAAAGACATACGTGGAATCCAGAAACTGGGTGAAAATTTCAAACTCATATATATTGTTTTTTGGTTTCCTTGGATAAAGACACTGAACGTTAGCCTGCGTTGTTTGTTGGTCCGCGGTGTCGTTGTGAGGAGGAGCAAGCGCAATTAACCGCAGGCCACCACACAACGCAGGCTAACTGAAATTTTTAAAACGTCGCGGCGTAGAGGTTTACACTCTACAAACAGTAGAGTCTATATTATGACACAAAACCAAATACCAACAGCAAACACAAGACAAGTTTTACCTATATCTGGAGGTTTCCAGCCAATCTGTATGACAGGTTTTCCCTTGTGAATAAACACTGCTGTGTTAAAGTCCTTTGGTGGTCCTGCGAATGACTTGCAGTTTGGAAACCTCGAATTGGCACATGTCTTCCCTAAAAATATGGTTATAAGAATTTTAGCTTGTAACAAACAATAGTAAGAGCGTTGTGAATGGTTGAAAACTTTTCTAAAATAGACGCTCTTTTCCGTGAAAATTGCTTTTCCAAGCAGCGTTTTGTAAGAATGCGCGCCCGATAGTAAGAAAACAAAAAAAATTAATTTTTAAAAAAACGCTTTTTCTCAGTCTATTTCAGAGCCCTATCATTCTCATTGTGCATGCCCAACTAGCATTAGTCAGGCAGGTGCAGTGAGAGTAAGAATGCAAGGTTCTGGTCATCGGAACGGATTCTCTGTTGAGTTATTGACTTACCTTTACCAGCCTTCCCACAGACTGGCGTCTTATCTAAGGAAAAGAAATGTAAAAAAATTATGTTTAGAGCAAAACGTCATTTAAGCCATATTCATTTTACTTAGTGGACCTAAACATAGAACGGTCGCCACTCTCTTTCCCAGTGCTTCCACAGCTTTTTTGATGGCTTCAATTTAAAAGACTAAAAGGTACTGGGAACTATGTCGTTAAGACTTACGTACCTGTTTCTCGTCTAGTTCGTTTGCACTTGACTCCATTACCTAATAAAACAGATTGTGATTTAGATAACCAGTCTGTTAGACATGCGCAGTAGCGTCTTTAAAAACATGTGTGGTACTGATTCGTATTTACAAACAGGCGAAGTAACTCTACTTTGTCTTCAGTACAGACATGCGCAGTAGCATTATTTACTTTTGTCTTTACAGACATGTGCAGTAGAACTCTGTACCTCTTTACAGCCATACCACTAGCTATGTTCCTTTACGTGTTCGCATGCGCAGTAGCATGTTCCGTTTTATTTTCTTGGGCATGCGCAGAAGCATTATGTACCCTTAACCTATCTACTCATCAGAGATGTTCTAAGATTATCCCCTAATGCATTGCAAATATTAATGATTGATGAAAAATAAATAAAAATCCAACATTTTATATTACATACATACCATCAGACAATACAATTCTCCAAGCTCCGTGCTTGCCGCTCTTTCTCACAAGACATTCAAATAACCCACAGTTGTTTTGCGATATCTTTATAATTTTTAAAAATTCACGTTTTTGCTTTGAGCGCCTTTTGATTTGGTATCCACTTGACTTGGTAATGTTCAGTAGAAGGCCATCTTTGAACCACAGAACCTCTGATGTCTTTGAAGGAATCTTGCATTTTAACCTACAAGTTGCTCCAAGATTTGCTTGGATTGGCTTGACTTTTATTTTCTGGGGAAAAAGTATTTTTTCACTTCAAAAACTCAATCACCACAAAATCTGCCTCGTTTCCTTAACAAACTGATTCCCTTGATGCAACACAAAGGACCTCCACAGTTCTCTATGTACTATATTGATAGAGTGCACGCACTAAACCCGTGAAACATATTTAGTACTAATTAGTAGTAATTCATACATAATCCTTTGTTTTCTATTGTTTGATTATCAYTATTTAGTGCTAAAAATTAGTATTTGTTTCACGGGTTTAGTGCGAGCACTCTAAGGAAGACTAGTGACRAAAAAATATTCCTTCATAGTCTCCCCCTTCCTTAAAATCTACACAGGACCCCCAAAGTGGAAAAACGAGGATTGCCTGCGTAGCTAGGTGAAAGCTAAAATAAAATTAAAAAAATAAACAATAATAAACTAAAATAAAATATTGACAAGCATCTGAACTGTCGCCAGCAATAAATATAAAACGATAGATAAAATGCCAAACCAGAATAACAATGGCTATTAATAACAATGAATGACATAAAATACGTGAATAGTGGGCACAAATATGTTTGGTATGCACAAAAGAAAAACAAAGTCTGTTTAGATAGATAATTCAAATACCAGCAATGAAAACAATGGGTTTTGCTAGGAAAGACAAAAATGCTTTTATGAAATATTCATATAAATAATAGAAATAATCAGGTTGAATGTTCTTATCCTTAATATTAGAGGCAGCCCTCAATTACAGATGGAAACTACAGTGTTGTTGATATAGAACCCTTTGTGCTGACATAATTAATGACAAAAATCGCCTCCAGCAAAACAAACGAAAATCACTCTAAAATTGGAATTCTAATAAAAGTTTGTTAACTAATCGGATTTGTTTTTTGTTTTTTGTCTGCTTTCGTTTCATGAAATGTATATTTTTAGTGTTTTTCAAAGCCAAGGTTGCACTGCGTCACTAGAGTTTTCGAGTGCTTCAAGTGGTGTATTTTAAAAGTGTTTTGTTTGCTCTTTTCTAATCGCAATTTACAATTCATTTTATTACCCACAGATATTGTGCTTTACTCATGATATCGTCATTCATATCTGTTATTAAAGTGTACTATTTACGAAAGGTTTGTCTATTTTTGGGATTCTCATCGCCATAGAAATAGTTTTTACTTCATAGAATTTCTCATGACCTTTTTCTTTTTCTTTTTTCTTTTTCTTTTCTTTTCCCTCTCGTCCTTTCTTTCCTTTAAAAGAGTGTTTGTATATGAGAGAGATAAGGAGGCCGTCTTTTTTTCTATTTTCTCCAGTCGTATTCGATATCGGTGAATCAACTCAAGACTACACACCAAGTATATAAACACATATATACGTTAGTTCACTTCTAGATTGACGTATGAAAACTTTAAATAGGAGCAGATAATACAATTGCGATAAAATCTATGAGGTCTTGCATGATATCGTGTTGTTTTTCTGACCTAACAAAAATAGAGATTAGACTTAGAAGTAATGATGGACTTGCGGGTAGAACATTCTAGTAGGTCTTGAGATAGAGCGGTAAGGCAGGGCCTCTTGCCTTATGTGACTTTTACTTCATTAAACGATACATTTGGTATAGAAAGGCTTGCCAATATATGACGGTGTCATTTTTTTCTTATCATTATAATCATTACCACCATCAGAATTAACATCACCATTATTATTATCATCTAACTTGCAACAATAGAAGATAATATAGGTAAGTTGTAGTGCTTGGGAACGAGGTTATTCCGGGCGAAAGCCCTTGGAATTAAATTCGGAAAAATTAATTTCCGACCTCGCTTTCGCCCGGAATAACCTCGTTCCCAAGCACTACAACTTACCTATATTATCTTCTACTATTTCATTAGTGCCACGCGGTCCACACTCATCTTTGCATCATAATTACCGCGACCTAACATCTATTTCACCCCGGCCTGCTCTCAGTCTGACCTCTAGCTCAGCTGGTAGAGCATCGGTAGTACAATTCCGAAGGTCGTGGGTTCGATTCCCAGCGAGGTCGGAAATTAATTTTTCCGAATTTAATTCCAAGGGCTTTCGCCCGGAATAACCTCGTTCCTAAGCACTACAACTTACCTATATTATCTTCTACTATTTCATTAGTGCCACGCGGTCCACATACTCCTAACTTGCAACAATTAACGAACAGATAGCCACTAGTGGTACAAAATATAGCCATACAGCTATTTTAAAAAAGGTTGAAGGGGCGGAAGGCGATAGGCGACAAGTAACTTAGGAGAGAGTAACTTAGCTCATTTCAAGATTCAAAAACAGGCGGAATTGCTCGTATTTCCTATCATTATTCTTGTCAAAAACACAGATGTTGTTGTTGAGATATTTAGGTTCACGTAGTCGATGAAACCATTTCAAACGCCTGGATTATTCGTGTTTGGATATATGCCCATCGTGCCTTTCGGTCCGCGCCATTTGCCGTCCATATTGCCGTTCGCTCCTTTAAAATTTAAAAAAATAGCCCTGAGTATTACGACATCTGCAGTGCCAGCAATTGTTTCCATACAGTACAGAACGACCTGTCATTCAGTATGGCTGCTTCAAGAAGTCCCCCGAAGGCCGAGTAATGAGTCACTTTGTGTTTTCCGAATTTAAAAGCTTTAAAGACACCAATAAAATAAAACTTCTATCTTACGAGGAACCATTTTATGATTCAGTATTTGTTTACGGCCAGAGGGCGAAATCCCGATTCGAAATACAAACAACCAGAATTCATTAATGTGCCCCTCAACGACGTCGTGATAATATCAGTAATAATGTACAATATTTGATATGATAATGATAAAAAATAACGATGATGATGATGTTAATAATAAAGAAGGGATTTTAAACTGATGAAGATGATAGAGGTGTTGTTAAAGAGTTAACAAATTTGTTGATAATTTTCCGTAGCCACAGTCGTAGATTATAGTCTACTGCTTACACAAATATGTCGTACCGCATTCGAACAGAGCAGAATTGACCAAATGCATAAATGTATATGTACCTAGAAGTTTTCAAATAGAAAAAATGTAAAACATTGAATAGCGCAGCGCAACCGTGACGTCATAAAAACGAAGACAAAGGCGAAATTCGGACAAACAAACTTACAAGTTTACTTTCAGCAGATAATTTTCACAGCCGATCGCAGTTGATTTTAGTTTA